ATTTATGTAGAAGACTGGGGAGAGAGGCTTTAGCGGATGGAAAGCTCAGTGACTCAGCAATGTGACATGGTGGTCAAAAAAGCTAATGGAATTTTAGGCTAAGCTAAAAGAAGTTTTTGCATGCAGGAAGAAGGGGAGAGTAGAAGAATCCTGTAGCCTGCCCTGATCACTGAACATCCAGAGTACTGCATGCTACATTTTAAGAAGCCTGACAGGGAAGCTAGAATGTATCCAGAAGAGGGGCACCAGGATGGTACAGGGAATGAAAATCATGCCATAAGATTAAAAGAAACTCAGAGTGTTTAGTCTGGAGAAGAAATGAATTCAGGGAAACATGGCAGTAACCTTTAAGAATTTGAAAGGATGTCATGTGGAGGAAGAATTAAGGATTTTTTTTTTACTTTGTCTTAGACAGTAGAACTAGGTTCCATGAGAGTTGTAGGGAGGCTCAGTATTATATATATGCATGCATGTACATACATGTGTATATTTATATGTGCTTATATATATGTATATATACATATACTTTCACATTTAGAGCTGTTTAAAAATGGAAGGGGTCGCCTTAGTAGGTGACCACATTGTTAGAGAGATTATATTCCTCTTCAGGTAAAAGTTGGACTAGAATCCCCCTGAGTCACTTCCAATTATAACATTCTGTGAATTTAAGATTCTCATGGCTATTCATTTCACTGAGCATTGAAATGCCCGCTAGTTGTAAATACAGCTTCCCTTTCAAGACAGATCTTCACCATCTGTAATAAAGCAAAGATCAAAAGGTTTCATTGGAAGTGGCCCAAGGGTACTTAAATCTCCCCTCCCCAACCCAAAAAAAACCCCTTAGTTTGAGTCTGCTTTAGAAAAGGGGGGGAGATTTGGGCTTTCTTCCCCATGAATCCTATGAAGAACGATACTAAGATTTTTATGAGAGAACACAATTTCTAACCTAGTACAAGCAAAAACTCTTCATTTTAATTTTTTCAAAAGAGTAATTGTGGCTGCAGGCAACATCCTTTCCAACAGAGGTTAATAAACAAGTGACACTTTTTAGCAGCACTAGGAGAAATTTATGTTAAGGCTAATTAAACACAGAAGTCAGGATGTGATCTTTTTAATGTTCTCTTAGACACTAAATTCAACAAATTACAACTGTTTTATATTAAAAGTCATTTGTGCAGCTAGATATTCTGGGAAATGTCATTTCCTGACAATAACAAATGGCTCATACATCTCGATCCTTCTCCTTTGAAAAGTGCCTACAATCTTAGCAGTTCATGCAAAAAAATCAAAGGAACCTATTTTTCATTTTAGAAGGTCATGCCTTTGCCAAAGAATAATGACTTATGAACCCCAAGCCAACAGCGTCAAAATGCACACAGTGGGTAATTCCTGTCTTGAAATGATTGAGGAACCAACAACTACCTTCAGTTTTTCAGACTGAATACTTAAAACAGCAGCCTCAGCAGCATCACAGAGATTAGGTTTTTCCAAATTAGCTTGTCACTAGACAGGCAAAGAAGATTCTTAATAACATCATATTCAAAATGAGGTGAACAACCTAGAATTATTGATAACTCACTTCAGTGTTTCATTACCAACTGATTCCCTCTCAAGCTTAAACTCTATAGGGATGGCAATGGTGAACAAAAGAATGATTATACTACTCCATCATATTACTAGTTTACTCTTATATGGTGTTTCACACTGATAAAGTACTTTCTCATACATCAGCTTATGGACTGTTATCAAGGATTATTAACAAGGATTGTTATCCCAATTTTGCCAATGAGGAAATGATGATTTGGCAAAGTTAAGTTCCCTAGACCATGCAGTTAGCAAATGGCGTAAGCCAGGACTCAAAAACGGGTCTTAGTACCATCAAGGCAGAGGTCTTCCCAAAAAACTACGCTTCTCATACTGTTAATGTACAGCTCACACAGAAACCAGACATGAGTCTTTCTAAGAGAGATTCAGTGGAAGATTGATGACTAGAGTAGAAAATCTGATTCCTTGTGCTAAAGCTTAAAAGTTTAAAATGCTTTTTAAAAAAAACTGCTTTGGGGATATCGTGAGTTGAGTAATAAGTCATTAGCAAGGAGAAGTAATCAAGTTACCTCTCAAGGCTGCAGAATGTTAGAGCTCCTTAAGAAATCTATCCTTGCTCACATCATATATAAGGCTTTCTTAGGCAGGGACTTAGTCTTTGCTCAGCTTCATGATCTGACAGCTATTTGTTCACCTACAGGACCTCATTTGATTGAATGAATGCTCTTTAAGTATGCTACCTTGTTCAATCTGACCTTACATTAGCAAGTTGGGCTCTGAAATTTTTGATTATGTAGACGGTACCACACTCGGGTATGAGGAAGAACTATTTTTCTCATGTTCACAAATTTTAAAAAAAGAACTCTTTTTTAGGATCACTTTCATCACTCTCATTTCTTTCGTGATACAAAAAATCTGAAAACTATTGCCTTTAACATAGGTTAGGAAGAACGGAGAGGCCAAAGAAGCAAAGACACAAGGACACCAAATTCCTTTTTCCATGGAATGCGCCTAGCTCATGTATGACTTGTTCAAATATAAGTATAAACAGTAGGCAGGGAAGTAAAAGAAATAGCCTTTCTGACTTTCTCTGGAAGCTGTTCAGAGCTTATCAGATTAAAGGAAGTTCACCATTTGCTGCTGTATCATGGTGAGTACTGGGAATGTATCAGTTCAAGCAGTCTGGATCTCATGAAATCCATTTAAGTTATAAAGAATATCTGTAAACATGAGCTTCCTTTCCCCCTTTAAAACAAGAGGTTCAGGTCATTGTTGTTGCAGGAAAAGTCTTAGTGGTGATAGACAATTCCGAGATGACCGGTGAATCACGACTTCTGCTTCATTTGATGTGGCAGCTCATGATACATTTCATTTCTGAGGAAATGCAGTGTGCGGGTATACTTCTCTTTACATGACAACTATGTTCCTGAAAAGTTGTATTTTTTCTTGTTATAATTTCAAACACTTCTTTTTATAGTTGAAAGAGCTTGCTATTTGAAGGAGTCTAGTCCTATGTACTTGGGAATTATGCACACTCAATGAACATTTTTGGAAAGCTAATAATCACCCCTGAATTTAAGGGACTCTCCAACTCAGTTTCTTCCATTTGGAGTTTCAGTACAAAATCGACCAATTCCTACTTCATAAGTGTGTTTATGGACCTTAATTGGTTAATGCCTACCAATCATGTCAAAGAGGACAAGTGTTAAATGTTCTGCTTTCCTTTTGCAATCTGTTTTGTTTTCCTTTTGTGAAAGGACTTCCTATAGCACTTCAAAGCGGCAGCTGAGGCAGAAATAGAATAAATATGCTTTTGTTGCCAAGTTACCGCCCAATTTTTTCTCATAGTCTCACTTAGGGAGTCCCAGTTACTCTCTGGAGAAGGAAGGTGTTATTGCTGTTTGGGGCAGTTGCTGAATTTGAGACTGAGTCAGAATGATGAAGGCACAAGAAAGGCAATAAGAGGGCTGGCGGCCTAGACAGAATAGCAGTAATAGGAGACTGATTGAAATGGGGGGAGAGAAAGAAAATAGAAATGGGGAGAATAACTGATTGGAGATGAGGGAAGAGAGAAATAGAAAAAGTAGAAATGGGGAAGAGACTTCCAAGATTCTCCTCTGGACATTTCTTTTTTTAAAATTACCTTTAGTTGTTGTTTTTTTTAAATTCTGAACATTAACACCAAAAGAAAGGGAGAGGGAGAAAGAGAAAAAAAAATATTTCCACATAGAGGATAGAACAGAAAATTACAATCACATATGAAAAATCTGAATCTGTTGTGTGTGCTATTTTTTAAAGTATACAAAAGATTTTAACATGTTGCTTTCAAAGTTGTTCTGCTTGTCTGTATTTCCTTCTGCTTTCTTTCTATTTTCTTCTTTGCATTAAAAAATGCTTCCAAGACCTTCTTTGCTTTGATTTTTTTGAGGGGAGGCAATTGATTATCAGTATCTTCTCTCTCCCCATCCCATGAAATAAAAAAAAATTATCCTTTTATGAACAAGTAGGCAAAAGTAAGCAAAACAAATTCACCCATTTCTCTGGTGGGAATGTTAATTGAAGAGACATAGTATAGGATTAGAGTAATGAATGGGAGTGATACAAGTCAACATGTGGCTTTTCTTCTTAAAATGCCATAGAAAGGATGAGCTTTATAGCTCCATACCCTAAGGACAAGTTCAAGGGATTTAGTTGTAAAGGACTTTATGGAAAGATGAAACATCTTTACCCTCTTTTTAAAAAAAGTAGCTAGTCTTAACTCTGGGAAGAAGTTTGAGCTTTTCCATGGGCTGGGGTGTCTCCTTTTACAAAACAAGAGCTGAAGGAAAGGCAGAGATTATAAATATGGTTGGAAGGGGCATTAATGAAGCAGAAAATAAATAAGATTTTATTTGGCAGATTTGAAAGGCTAATAAATGGTTACCTCAGGAATATGTCTTTCTTAACAACTAAGGCAAGGAAATTAAACTGAGATTGTGATTTAAGTGTTGTTAATACAACAGGAGATATTTGATCCTGCTTCAAGTGACTTAGTTCTTCAAAAAGTAATTATTTGCCTGCTTTAATCACACCAAACCTTTAAAGAGACAGGGATACAGGATGTATGAATACATTATTCCAAGTGTCTAATCTTTAGAAAAACAGACAGCAGAAGTTGTGACAAACTGCCATGGTTGCTACTAAAGTTAAAATATTTTAGGACTGGGTAAATGCTAAGAATACTCATTATGAATAATGGTTACTGACAAATGTGAAACTGTAATAAAAAATAATAAAGTCAATATCTATGTACCAACCACATGCATTTGCTGAAAAGATGACAAAAATCCTAACTAAGCATCCTACCCAGAAAAAAAAATAAAAAGGTCAAAAACTCTTCAGATTTGTGGTGTATACTTAAGCATCCACTCGTCACTTCCTTGATTCCAGCACCTAATGACATTAGGGAAACTCACCTGCAAGCAGATCGCCAGGTTAACTCTACAGCCAAATGATGTACTAACAGCTCGTGGATGGAGACCCAGATCTTTAAATAATTTTGAAAATGATTGTGTGAGGGCTATTCGAGGGCGTTCTTCTGCCACGACCACACACGTCCGTACTCGGGACAAGTCCAGTCCTCTTGCCTGGGAATGATAATAATGGCATTAGTTGATAAGGCAATCTCACACTTGTTTATCTCCATGTAAAACCATGGATCCCATTACTTTGCAATGACAAAAGAACACAGCAAAGACCCAGTGCCATATGGTCATCTAGTGTTGTGCTTTTCATGGGTTGGTTTAGGACTGAACTGACTACCTGTTTAAAACATCTATGGTGACATTCAGAACTGAAGAGATAACATAAAAACTGGGATATCATTGATGTGGGCACCCTCTCCATCAAAGCAGACCAGGCTCAGAAAGGTTAAGTGACTTGTCTATAGCCACACAGCTAGTAAGTGTCAAGAGGCAAGACTTGAATGCAGTTCTCCTTGACTCCAAGACCAGCCCTTTGTCTCCTACCCTGGGCTGCCTCTCTGAAGCAGTGACACCAAACACCTTTTCTGAATAGCTGCAAGGTCACCAGAACAGCAAGTGAAGTGAGGGAGACAGAGGAAAATGAATGCCCGTGGGAGGGTAATTCAAGACTGGCAAAAAACAGGAAAAGAAGTCTGACGAAATGTTTGTGTGTGATTCCTTACAAGTGTGAATCTGTGTGGGCATTTCTGAGCATGCACAAGAAAGAAACGCAAAAAAATCCCAACCCACTGGATGTAAATAGGAAACCAGACATTTCCAATGACTTCATAAACATGGGTCATGCATTTTATGTCCTGTGGTCCGTGAAATACCCAATGATATATTCTCAGTGATTAATCACTTTATAGTTTTATGGTAGAATATTTCTGCATTGGATGAGGTCCAGTGAGCAAAAGCACCAGAAATCAAAGGAGGAGGAATTCAAATGAGCCAAGCAAAATGCTTTTGGTGGTAATGGTTGGCACAGCTCACACTGAGAGTAAACAAAGTTGTTGGATGGCATCCCAAAGAGGAATGACCACCGGCACTGATGTATGTTGTCTGCTGGTATGAAAATGAGATACAAAGAGATGAGAACTCCACAAAAGAAAGTCAGTATATTCTTTCCCTTCTATCATTGATAACAAATGCACTTCTGACTGGAGCAAAGAAGAGAATTCAAGATAATGTTGACATGAACAGGTGTGAATATGTCTGTCTGCATTGTTTTTACTTGCTCTATCAAACTAATAAAATGCTTACACATATTTATGTGATAGTTTATAGTTTGGAAAGCAATTTCCACACAGCAACTCTGAGAAGTAACTAATGTAACCCTTTGGCTTTTGTGACAATGTAAATCTCTCCCGGTATTGTTGTTTTTGAATGTGTATCTCCTTGGTCTTACGCTGAACATTAGGCTTGACAGAGAAATCTATTTTTATGTAACTAGACAATATACTCTCCTTTGCTAAGGTTTTAGCTTGGTGCTTCACTGTCTCATGGAAGTGACAGTGGTTATTTAAAGTCTGGGCCATTTATTTTAGTACAAACTCAGGCAGGTCTTGTCAAATTAGAAAGGCCTCAACCCCGAGACTCCCATAGACTATGCCTGTGGTCTGCTGTTAGGACCAGCTAAGTGTAAGAAGGCTTATAACTGGAAAACTGGCCACCAAACCACTCTTTCGGCTGTAGTGGTCACAAAGTCATCCACAGAAGTGCTATACTTAGTGTCAGGGCAGTAAGTATTCGTATTGATGGCCTCAGAAGTTAATAGGAAGTATACATTATACTCTCCCTCACCACTCCATATATTTCATATCATATATCATATCATACTACACCATATACCAATTATTACATAACACAATATATACATATATGGTTTTTGATTTATTATGGACCTGTGATTTGATTGTTTGGGGGAATTTCAAGTTGATGAGCACTGTAACTAAGTCTTAGAGAGTTGTCTGAGGAGCCCTTGAGAGGTTAAGTGATATAACCCATGTCCCTCAACTGGTATGTGTCAGAAGGACCCAGGTCTTTATGACTCTCAAGCCAGGTCTAATGCACTATACCATGCTGCTTCTTACATACACATCTTTCTGAAATACAGAATCAATATAGGGTATGTAAGCATGTTTTGTTTACCCGTGTACATGCATTTGTATACATATATATGTATTCACATATAACATATACATTACACACATAATATGCTTATTACATACATGATACACATCTATACATATATCTGCATATGTGTGTATATAAAATGCAAAATTCTTCACATAATTCCATATTTTATTTCTCTGTTCTGTCCATATATAATTCTGGGGGCAATGGGCTAATAAGGTTAGTTATAAGTATGTATATACCTATAATATTCTCTCTATGCATACACATATAACCCACATAGTATTATATATGTATACATACATGTATACATGCATGTATACTATATAACCTATAGTTATGTGAAACACATGTCTCTATCATGAATGATGCTTAAGACAAAACCAAGGGAATACCTAGTATAAGCCAGAAATGTCAGAAAGGACTGCTTGCGTGGACATTTTAATTTATAAGATCAGTAGAATGAAAGGCATCATTACCTAACGGAAAGTGCATTTTTGCCTCTACTGTTTTGGTTTATAATGCATGTTTATCAGTTACTTCTACTAATATTAGACATTGTTCAAATGTTGAGCAATTAGATATAACATATGAAGAACTTTAAGCTATAATATATTTACCGTTTAGGCCTAACTAGTTCCTATATTTAAAAATAAGACACTCAAAAGCCATCATTTCTCACTTCAGTTATTCAATGTTCTGGATTTTATCTCCATGTTCTATGACTATTCTTGGTTTTAGGGAATAGCTGTGGGGAGGGCATATAGGCACAAGTGTTTCAAACTCTGAAGGTTCACCCTGTTTTTAAAAATGCCCCCAAATATGGCTGATTTCAGGAGTGGAAACTCTTGATTTCTGAAATTAGATATGATAATGAAAAACTTAACATTTATTTTACCATAGATATTGGAAACAAATTGCTATTTGCATTTGCTATGACAATATAAAGTAACTAGGGTGTCTTTGGATTAAATGAAAAAAATGGTATTGTCACTTCATGTTAAAGATAAAATGGAAATTGAACAAATTGTCTTCTATAATTCAAGTGAAGCCCCAATGAAATTTAAGAAATAATTGTTAGTATTCTTTGAAATATTAGTCTCTTGACGTCTGTGCACACTCTAGATATAAATTCTATAAATCCTTAAAGAGCGCCATAGTCCTCCTTCCTTTGAACCTTTACCAGATGAAATCCTATCCATCCTTCAAATACCATCTCCTCCATAGTCTTTCTTGATCCCATGAGCTAGAAAGGATCCTTCACTCCCTGATCTCATGACATTTTGCATCTCTCTTATACTTTCACATGATACATACAATTAGTTTGCAAAAGAATTTTTCCTGTCTCCCCTTCAAGACTGTTTCCCTCCTTCTAGACTATAAGTAATGAGAGTCCTTATTTGACACTGTATACCACTCAGTACCTTGCTCAGAACTTTTCACATACTATGGACAGTAGGACTAGCTGTGATTTCATTGATACAATGAACTCTTGGGAGAAGAAACTTCCTGTACCAATTCAAGTCAGTACCTTCTTGGCACTTCACAGTATTAAAAAACTGCCTAGAGCATAAAGTAGAGTAGTTACGGGACTTGCTCAGAGTCTCCATAGCCAGCATATGTCACAGGCAGAACTTCACCCCGGCTCTCCGTGATTTCAAGGCTGGCTCTCTGTCCATGATACTTGGCATCATTCACTCACATGAAGCAAAGACAAACCCCAAGATTTCAGAAGTTACAATGATGAAATAAAGCCATGATTCTGAGTATTTCACAGATCCAGAGATCTGCCATCTGGCCCTTAAGTCTACTTTGTGGCAGTGAGGTAAGAGACATTTGAAAAAAAAAAAAAAGCTTAGGTGGTTCTCAAAGATGAGTATTTCTAATTTCTTATGTGAAAATGGGCTTGGAAGCAGCAAGTGATGGTATTCTGACTTTTGTGAAGACTCCCATTAGTTTTACCAAGAATTTTCCAAGTTCTTCCATAAATAGAATTTCTCTCCTTCAATGACTGCAATCAGGAATGTTCCCTGTCAAAAGGGTAAACAGGCAAAATATACCCTGGTGCTGCTGAAAAGGCTTGCCTGTTCTGCTTACCTTCAGTGATTCTGTCTGTGAGCCTAGGCCCTTGGTGCAAAGTTCCATGACTGAGTAGGAACAGAAAGTGTCTCGGACTTTGTACTGACTCACAGCAAGAAGCCATAGGGCAGGATTGGTCTCCAGCTCTGAGGGAGGGATCAGAATAGACTGGTGTCCTGAATAAACACTGTAAAAACAGAAGACTACTGGTCAGGAGAGGGTCAGCTCTCTATAGACAGTTTTCTTTTAATTTTTTAAAAAATTATTTTTAAACGTTCATTTTTAAATTTTGAATTCCAAATTCTCTCTCTCCGTCCCTCCCTCCAGTGCATCCCCCACCCATTGAGAAGGCAAGCAATATGATAACCCATTTATACATATGAAGTCGTGCAAACATATTTTCATGTTAGCTAGGTTACAAAAAGAGCAAGAAAAATAAAGTGAAAATCTGTAGACAATTCAAAGGCAAACTGAAAGGAGTGTCATCATTTGATACCCAGAGTCCAGTCCCAGACCTATGACTAACTCTATGTAATCCTGAACAAATTATTCAACCTATATGCTTTGATTTCCTCATCTGTAAAATGGGAAGAAAAGCATCTTCCCTGCACACCCCACAGACAATTGCATATGATGATGTTTCTGAAACCCCTTTGAAGGTGTACAGGTCAGGTATTGTCATGATGTACCTTTATTTAAAACCAGTATGCTATTTGGCTTCTCATCTTCTGAACCTGCTTTATTATCTCTGTAAACCAGAGTCTTACTGGAGCAGGAAGGATGTCATTTTGGTGGAACTCTCACATTTGGTGGTGTCTATAGTATTAGCAAAAAATGCTAAAAATATTGGGGAGATGGAAAATTGCCAATTATTTTTAAGTCTACTCCTGAAGGGTTGATTTTTCCTCTCTTCCCAAACTACAGCAAACAAACTAGCTAAAAAGGATCAAGGAACGAGACCCAGACTTTCACTGCAAAAAACAAGTTTTGAGAAATGAAAGAAAACATACAGGCACTGGTTATGTTTAAGAAGTCTGGACTATCTACTGCACCCCCAGCACAAAGAAATAGGCATTAGTTGTCACAAATGAGGGCTCCACGTTTGCCCAAACTCTACTTTTTACAAGGTTTCTGGGATGTCATGTCCTAATATCAACAGTTCTTTTCATTATGACAAAATCATCCCAAGTCAACCACCTTCTTCCAATTGCCCCAGGAAGGCAGATACATTTTTTTTTCCTTTGCTAAGCATTACATAAGAGGTAGTTTCCTGTTGTAAAGAGTTCAGGGGTTAAGGTGGTAACAGTATATGGCATTATTAAATGTCAGTGTGCAAAACCCAATTTTATCACAGTATGGTCAATATAGACTTTCTAGCTTTTAGAATCTCATCCAAGAGAAAAAAACAAAACAAAACAACCGATTATAAAGTGTTTGGTGAACGCATCTGGCTGACAAAAATTCATTCATTCATTCATTCATTCATTCATTCATTTTAAAGGTAAATGTCATGTGTTGTAGGATTCAAACTGAGATCTAGATCCCAATCCATTGGTCTTTCAAAACTACCTTTGGCCCACAGAAATGAAGCGATCCAGCCAAGATGCCACATAGGTGAGAAGTGGCAGAGGGTGGAATTCAAGGCTGTCATTTGAGCCAAATCTAATGCTCTTTCCACTACAGCTTGCTTTATTGATTATACCATAATCTAAAAATTGGTTAATCATACACACATACATCCTTATTTGTCCTTGTATCACACTCAGCACCTTGCTCAGTACTTTTAACCTATTAGAGATGGAGGGACTAGAGCTGTGATTTCATTGATTAAATTGCCCTCCCTTCATTTACTATTAAGATGAGGAAAAAAATTCAAATATTGCTCTGGTGTATTTCAAGACCTCTGAAGTAGTCACTACTTGCAGAGGCTATGTTAAAGCAACCAAAGACAAATTTTAGGTGTCTTTTATTTTAATAGTAGAATATATATTTTGTTCAAACCAAGTCTTCCCTTGAAAAGGCTATTCAAGGTATAAAGGAGAAATAATTGAGAAGACCATAAATCAGAAATTATAGTTTTTGGACAAATCCTGAAATCTAAGAAATTAGGAAAAGAAAAAATTAAAAGCAACTCTCCTCCCTTTCTAACTCTCTGGCATCCAATTGAATAAGGTGATTTGTATCTTTGATGAACGTGTGCCACAAATACATACATAGTCAAAGCCCAGCCTATAAGCAATAATTGACTATATCCTTAACTTCCTTTTAGATATATTAAGGTGAATGAAATGTTTGTCATTTAAAGAAGTAATTTCTGTCTGAAGAGAACAGAAATAAACATTGCAAAACTAATCGTTATTACATATAAACAAGTTCTTTATAATAAAAGCATATCCTGTTTTCCCACATGGGGTTTGTGAAGCAGTTGTATTCTGTTTGCCTTCATGGTTACATGACAGTTGCTGTTAACTGAGCTCTCCTGTGGGTCCCGCTTTAATCCCTACAAAAGCCTGTTCTCAGTGGACTTGTTTTAAAATTCTACTTCTTTAAAACAACACTTACAAGAAACCTTTTTCCAAATGGAAAATAATATACTGAATTAGAAACCTGTTGATAATTCGGGGAAAGTGAAAGGGAGAAACTGAGAAGGACAGAGGAGGATCCTAAGATGAATGCTTCAGGTAACATATATGAAAGTAAGAGATCTTTTGCATTTCCTAGGTCAGCAAAGGGCTTTTGGTGACTTACTCTTTTAAAGAAAATTTAGAATATCTACACATTAAATGTCTTTCAAATCTTTTCTTCTATCATAAATTTATTTCTCCCTACCTCCAAATAGCTGGTTCTGCTGAAGGAGGATGTCTTGTGGTTTGTACAGATAGTTTGCAGGCAATACATGGCACTTTGGACTCTCAGCCTAAACTGGATTAGGAATTAGAAAGCCTTTCCCATAAATCAAGCATTAAAATGGATTACCTCTGTGAAAAGGGGGTGATCTGAGTGAAGAATAGGGATATTTAGGGTCTTAAACTCAACTCTAATGATGACTTTCTCCCTGGACCCAACTAAACTTACCTAGCCACAGAGGGTGCTCAGAGGATTAGTCGTGGTTTCTAAAGTACTTGGAAGATGAAAAGTGCTAAATACTATTAATTGCATTTTAGTTGAGTATGTACCCATCATTAAACTTGCACTTGCTTTTGTGAAATACCCCTTCTTGTCACACTTGCTTAGCTGGCAAGGACACTTGTTTGGAAATAAACAGCTTATTTTTTCCTCCCACTTGAATCTGTGGTGAAATGACAGTGCATAATTTGTTGCATCATGGTTTCTCAGTAGGCAAACAGGTGATGATGTCAAAAACAAAACTGAGACTTCACAATGGGATCAGAAGCACACCATTCCCTCCTTCCTCCTGGCCACTGTTGTCTTCTCTCTCAACTGGAGAACATGGCTTAATACTGGTCGCATGGAATAGTAAAAGCACCAGACTAAGAATCAGGAGCATTGGTTATATGCGTGATTCTGAGCAAGTCACAATCATCTTTTTCTTCTCAGTTTCCTATCTGGTCTACTGCACAGGACTGTTGTTAGTCAAAAAGCATTTATTCAGAGCTCACTGTGTCAAGCACTTGTTAGGACACTCATATAAGATAATGGATGTGAAAATACTTTCAGAACTACAATATGCCCAACAAATATGAGTTTGCATTAAAATCAAAAGGACTTAGATGAAATTGAGTTAAATTCTAACATATACCAGTTTAGAGAAAGTGGTTATCTAGCTTTCACTGAAAATAAACTCTGAAGATGAGCGCTGCACTTGAAGTGTGCTATCAACAGTAACCAGGTTAATGGAACTATTAAGCCTTAAATCTCCACTGAGCTTTTGCTGTTACTAACACTTCTGAAAATTTCAAAGGAAGGGTAGTTAGGGACCCCTGGCATAAAATTCTATGGGGAAAATTGGCTCAGGAGGGATGAGGGAAGATCAAGAATGAAATTCTGATTAAACAAACACAAATGATTATAATAAGGGAGAAGAGAAGAAGACAGATACGGATGCTCAGTAAATTCACTAACAAAGACATGGAGATTAGAGAATCAAGAGTAGGCAACTGAGGGGGGATAGAAGAGTATCATGGTCCTGGAAGAATAGTAAGAAATAGAATTCTAAAGCTCAGAATGAGCCGGAACTAATGATGAATGACAAGAACAATAAGGGCTATTTTAGTTATTCTGCTGGGGCAAGAGGAAGACTGAACAAAGCACAGGACCACGACTGAGAATGGATAGGATAATTGCAAAAAAAAAGAACTACTCAAGTCTTTATTTTGCGTTCTGTACAGAATGCTCTTCAGATTGGGAAGGATAGAATAATAATGGTGGACAGGAAATTGAAATCCAAGATAAGTGATTGTTTAACTGCTAAATTTGATGGTCTTTTCCTTAGTCTTTATTTTTTGACCTGTGCAGCTTTTGATACTGCTAACCTCTTCAACTGAGATACTTTTTTTCTCCATTGGCTGCCATGACACTGCTTTCTCCTGGTTCACCACTTGGCTGACTGATATTTTTTGTCTCATTTATTGGATCTCTTGTCCCTTGACACGAGTGTTTCCCCAGTGCTCTGTCCTGAACCTTCTCTTCTCTTCTGTCTCTAGAAACTCTCCCTTGGAGATCATCCATTCTCATGGGTTCAAGTGTTCTCTCTCCATCACTGATTCCCAAACCTAGACAGCCATCCATAATCTGTCATAATATTTTCTAGTTACCCATTGATAACTGCCTGGCAGATATTTCTTCCCTGGGGGCGTGTTCCTTGGCATCTCAAATTGAATGACCAAAATGGACCCGTTATTTCCCTTTTCACAACCTACTCTTTTCCTCTAAATGTCTGCATTTGTGGACTTGACTTCTCTCCTAGCACCCAGGTAACCTTGGAGTCTTCCCTGACTCTTTATTTTTTCCTTAACCCCATATACATAATCAATTGTCATGCCTCATAGCATAGCATCTGTCCCTTTCTCTTCACTCACACATTAACAACCTGGCTGAGGCACTAATCACCTGTAGCTTGCATCTCTCTAACAGTCTGCAAATTGGCCTTATTGCTTCCAATCTTTCCCCTCTCCAATTCAGTTGCCAAAATACTCTTCCAAAGGCACAGAACTGACCATGTCATTT